GGCAGCGGCTGGGTCCTGCTGGAGGGGAAGGGGGTCTCCAGAGCAGCTGTCCCACAGCAGGGCACTCTCCAGTACCAGGACATGCTCAGATTATCGCGTGGGGAGACTGCCCCACCCCAAGGAGGCTGGGACTCCTTGGAGACGTGGGTGCTGGCCTCCCACTTGGGCCTCCGGAGATCTCCCCTACACCCTCTGCTTCACCTGAACCAGAGGGACTGTCAGCTCAGCCCAGCAAAGCCAAGCCCGCACGTCAGAGCCAGTCGTTGGGGTGAACGGGTCCCTGTCACCCCACGTCCCCTGGGGAGCCCCCATCCAGCGTCCCAGCAGACGTACCTGCAGGCTCGCAGCCCTCGGGCTTTGGTGACGCTGCACAGCCTGCCCGTTGGCTTCAGCCCCATGCTGCCCACGACCGCGTCCCGCACGTACTGCCTGCGAGAGAAACGGTGCCGTTCAAACACGCGGGGAAGTGGCACCCGTTGTGAAATGCCCCCTCCACCCCACCCCGACAGGGCACAGGATTTGCCAAAATCCTCCCAGACAACAGAGAATTCCCAGCATGTTCATTTTCCACCACTTGACAGGGTTTAGGATCCAGATGGACAGACCTGTATGTGACCCCACGGTGCTAGTGACCTACCAGCCAGCCAGCCCACGGCACATGCAGGGTCTCCATCGTTCCCCAGGGACAGCAACAAAGCCCCCACCCCGCTGCCCCCCTCCCCAAGCTCAGGGCTCACGTACTTGCCACATTTCACGCACTCTTCCACAAACATGTTCCCATGGAGCTCAGCCAACTTGTCCCTGCGGGGGGGAAAAAAACGGGAGCTGGGAAAGGGTGGAGAGCCCGGGGGCAACAGGGACAGCTGCCCAAACCCCCCTCCCCGCTCTGCTGGCTGACGTGGGGTGGCAGGGACCCTCTGCCATGGCCTGGGGACAGTGCCCCAACACAGGGGCAGCATTGCGGGGAATTATATTAGGTATAGAGAAATATGGCTGCGTCAGAGCAAAGCACCCGGGTCAGGCAGGTGCAAAGCACCAGTGTCAGGCAGGTTCTGGGGGCACTGGGTGCCCCAAAACAAGCTGGCCTTGCTGCAGGGAGGCAGCTGGTCCCGCAGACAAGATCGTCGGTCTGTCCATCGAGTGTGGGGGCTTCCCCGTGCCGAGCGTGGTCATCGCACGCAGGGCAAACGGGCGCTGACAAAACTATGGCACACTGAGCACCGCTTTGTGCGTTTAACACAAAAATACTGTTCAAAGGGAGTCTGGGCAGAGCTGTCCCTCTCGCGGGGGCAGGGGAGACCCAGAGGACATGTTCAGGTCCCGGCGAGAGGCACCATGGTTTTATCTCCATCATGAAAACACCATGCTATGGCCACCACAGTTGGGACTAAGGCGAGGGACAGCATGTCCTGGCTTTTTAATTTTAAATGCACCACCTCTAACCCCTGCTCTGACCCAGCCTGAAATCCCGGTGCCTGTAACCTGGATCTTTGCTCTTCTCAGCACTCAGGGTTTCTCTCTGCCCTTGCATGATCCCAGCCCTTTGCCACTTGTTTTTGACTAAAACTCCCCTCGAGCTCAGCACGAACCCCAAAGCACAGGAGCTAGAAGAAAACAAGACCACGCTCTTCTTACGTTCCTATGAGCCCCACGGTGACTGGGAACCTCCTCCAGGGCAGATGGAGACAGGACTGACTCGATTTCCCCCATTTTGGCCCCAGTTCAGCGACGTTTACTTAAGCACGTGCTTCGCTTGGGCGGAAGACCTGTGCTAAACCAGAGCGGGAGCCAGTGGCACCAGGCTGCAGGGAGCACAGCTGAGTTCTGGTCATTATTTCCTATTCTTTTTCACATGGTTGTTTAGTTTAAAAAGGCAAACGTGGTGCTAGGAGCAAGAACCAGGACTCAGGGCTTTTAATAACAGGCAATACCCCCTGGAGGCAGCTCTCTGCTCAGCCCGTGATGGCTGAAGACATTTGTGAGACACATCTTCTCCAAGGTCCCATTCACGCTCCTCATTCTCATCCCAACTCCCTTCCTTTTATTTTCCTACTTGAATTCGGCTGCTCTCCTTTTCCTTTCCAGACAGCTCCAAGCAGTTTGCCTCACCAGACAATCACTCGCTGGTTTTTAAGTGCTGGAAATGGGTTTTATGACAGGCTGAAGTTTCTTGAAGTTTTCCCTGTTGCCGCAAGTGCTAATGGAAAGGCAGGTTCCTTTGAGGACATCTTCGAAACGGCCACTGAGCTGCTAAATGCACTTCAGTCCCCACCCACGCAGGGAGCGGGGATCTTGTACCCTCAGCTCCCACACGTTGCAGCACCCCGCGGAGGGAACACGGCTACGCGGGATCCCTGACCTCATCGCAGCGGGCGAGGAAATCAGAGATCACAGCCAGTAAGTCAGACCAGTTCCAACTGCGGGACTTTCTCTCTGTCTTGCTGCCCTTGCAGTCTTGCAAATTTATTGAGGGGCAAAATACTTTTCAAGGCTATCTTGGGCTCAGACGTGGTTTCATCACCGGGGAAGCACCGCCTTTATTTTCTCTCACGAAATTCAATTTAAGCAAACTGTAAAACAGCGCAGTGTTCCGAGATAGCTCCAGCAACACTGGTAAAACAGGGTAACACGCGTCTCTGCAGGAGCAGTTTCAGATGTTCTCATCCTCTCTCCTGTCCGTTCACCTCTCTGACTTCTCGGTGTACATCTAGAGAGCATCGACTGAGGCTGACTGAATTTCATCGCCCACTGAATTATTGCCGTAACCTCTCTGCTCTAAATTCAAGCTGATTGATGCACCCCTTCCCACGCCAGCACATCCCAGTTTCCACTCCCAATATCAGCGGGCAGACAGCTTCCAAGCCAGCCTTGGAAATCAAGCCCCAGCATCAAAGGTTTGCACGCGAGGCCGTGTTAATTGGGCAGCAAGAACAGCCACGGGGAAAGGCACGAGGGACCCAGAGACAGGGCGGAGAGGCAGTACCGTGGGAATCCTGAACGCACGTGAAGGCCGTCCACGTTCTGGCTGACCAGGAATTTCAGGATGCCGACTCTCTGCAGCCCCAGCAGCGCCATGTGAGTCTTGGAGGGTCTGGCATTCTCAAAAGTGGTGTCGAATTTTGGGGAGAGCCCCTTCTCTTCCATAGTCCAGACACCATTGGGCCCCCTGCAGCAATGGGGACAGAAAGAGTGAGAATTGAGAGCTCAGGATCTCAGAAGACGGGTGAAAATGCACCACAAGCCCTATCAACGGAGGGTGAGCAAGGCACTGCTAAACGAAGGTCCTGGATCACCAGCGATTTCTGTTGTTGATGCAAGCAGAGCGCATGTCGGGCTTCTATGGGTACAGCTTAACATCACGCGGGCGTGCAAGAGGGAAAGGGTATTTTCAGCTGGATCCGGGATCAGACAGGAGGGATGAAGTAGGTCCGGCTGGGGTGGCAGGGAGCACAGTCCAGAGCTTTACAAGATGCGAGATGGACTCGGAGGAGGTGCCGTCCTCCCAACCCCTCGCCTGCTGCCCACCCTCCTTACCTGAAGTCGGGAATCCCCGAGGCGGTGCTGATTCCAGCCCCCGTGTGAAACACCACGTTGGAGGAACTCCTGATCAAGTCTGCCAGCTCCCGCACCTTCCTCTCCAGTTCCTCTGGCGGGTCAAAAATCTGAGCGGAAGAGACAAACCATCGTGGGAATGGAGAGATGCCGGGATAGATCCTACACCCCTCCTGGCACAAAGACCCAGGAAACCACAACTCTTTCCTATCCATGACAAAAACTGCGAGCGGGAAAGAAAATTTCACATTTCTTAATGATAACAGCATTTAATCAGAGAGAAACAGCATTGTAGAAACCATCTCTGTGCAGGGTAAGGGCTTAAAGCACCTAACGCAGATGAGGGTATTTATTGCTCTCACTGACAGGCAGCTGATACCCAAGAAGCGGCCGGGCTCCAGGGCACTGCCGGGCAGCGGGACGCCAGGAGCAAACCCGGTGTCACCCCATGTGCGCTCAACTCCAGCTGTCACCAGCGCAGCCACCGGCTCTGCGGACGGGACAGGGGGGGAAAGCCGTGGAGGTGGGGGACACGGGGACGCTGTGGCTGGACGGGACCGTGCGCCCACCCAGCTTTCTGGCATGGGCACAGGATTTTGTTTCTGTGAGATGTTTTTCCAGCCTGATCTCCTGGGGACAG